CCCTCCCGCCGCCATCTTGCGCCGACTCCCTCCGCCCTCCGCCTCCGCTCCGCCTTCCGCCCCTCCGACTTTAAAGGCACAGTCGAGCACCCCGCCCGTGCCGCTGGGCAATACTCGGCCGACTCGGCCACTTCTCCTTTAAAGAACCGTCGTCTCATTCCACCTTAAAGGTATCAGGTACCCTCCTATGCTGAGGACTCAGGACCTGGTTTGGCCGAAACGCTGATTCCCCTTTAATGCTATAAGCCTGCCTTTTCCCATTGGTGAGGGTCCAGGCGTCGTCCCCCAGGCTCCGCCCCTGAGTTGTGGCCATTAGCTGGTTTGTGAGATCTGATCGCCCTCTCCCTAGCTTGACAGCCCCCCCCCGGATCCCCGCCCCCTTCCTCCGGGCCTGGATTGGCCAAATAACCTTGAGTCGGCCCCTGATTGGCTTTTTTTACTCCTACCGCTCTAAGTGAGAGTAAAGCGAGTAGAGGAGGCTGAAGCACTTTTAAAAATAAAGTTGCCTGGCAGAGGGTACCTAGAAGGCCCGAGGACAAACCCCAAGAGAGGCGTGCAAGGGCCAGGCTTGAAAAGACTGATCTGGGCTTCCCCGGGGCCTGAGCTAACCTTGAGCCAGGGGACAGCTAATACCAATCTGTGACAGCAGAAGGATAAGGAAAAGACAGGGATACAGAAAGAAAAGAACTTAATTGTTTTATTAATGTTTCTGTGTAAAACTTATAAGCTTTTGTTTTTGTTTTTTTTTTAAAAGAAACACCACCCAAAAGGGATTAGCTCAGTCCATTCTTCCTCAGTCAACTGCTTCCCACCATCCTCCAAATGCTATCCCAAAACATACTGGAGGCAAGGAAAGAGAGGCAGCTAATCCGAGTCTGAGAGCACAATGATCTCCTCTGGATCGCACTGTGTGGCCACACTCATCTGCAGAAAAATGAGAGGCAGAGTCAGAGAGATCTGGAAGGCAGAAGAAGGAGAAGTAGAAGGAAGGATTTAGAGATTAAAAATTGGATGGGAAAAAGGAAGAGACAGCATGAGGCAGATGCAATAGTCAGATAGAGTGACTGAAACACCCAATGAAGAGAACTAATTATTAGAGGAAAAACAGCCTCCCCCTCTTACCTTGTAAGTACTGGGCCGGGGAGGCTGTGACTGGGGGGTTTGGGATAACCGGGCTGGAGAAGGGCTGCAGAGGGAGCTGGTGACCAGGCCATGGCTGGGAGAGTCCACCCTTGTGGAAGAGTCAGCAACCGGGGCCATGGAAGCCAAGGGGGAAGGTGGGCTGAGCAGGGTACATATCTTCTCCCCATTCTTCTCATGCACTGCCCTTTGCCTTTCCACATAGCTAGGAACAGAAACATGAATGTGTGGAGGGGTATGAGAAGATTAAGGCTGGAGGCAGAGTCCAGTATCTCGGAGCAGACTCAAGTTCCCCAGTATTCCTCTCAGAGAGCCCCCTGCAATCCCTCCTTAGCTTCCCTCTTTCTCCTCCTATTGTCATTACCTGTTTTGTAGTGACCCTGATCCTATCTGCTTCTTCTCCTTCCGAGATTTCTTGCAGGGGGGACTGGAATCTCCCCAAGTATGAGGAGAGACACCTCCATTGAAGGAAGTAGAAGTGACCATGCCTGCCCCATTCTCCAAGACAGTGGTGAAGGGGTCCTCTAACTGCTTCCTGGAAGAGGAAACGTCTGTCTCCTCAGAGGAAGGGGTATCCAGTGGCAAGGCTTCAATCTCTAGCTCAAAGAGCTGAGACAAAGGACTCTCTTCCTCCAGGGGCAACTCCTCAGGCTGTTCTCTATTGCTTTCAGCATCTACGCTGGAGGGAGCTAGAGACTCTTCCAACAGGAATGACGGTGACCCTATGAGTCTTTTGCTTTGCTGCTCCCCTGAAGACCTGCTGATCCCTTTGCCAGGTTCCAGGTTCTTCTCAGTGGAGATCTGTTGCGGGGAAATGGGGCTCTCGTTTCCACCTTTATCTGGAAAAGAAAAAAGGGAAGGGAAGGCATGAGAACTAGGGGGGGGGGAAATACTGCTGAGAAAACACTAAGAGTAAGAGGAGGCAGGTAAGGGGTCTCAAGCAGATAGCTCATGCCTAACAAAAGAGAACTGACATGTGAGGAGAATATTGCCTGGACATACCTGCTGCTTCCTCCTCCTCTTCATCGTCCCCCTGACCTTCCTGCATCTGTTCCAGATCCTCTTCTTCAGAATCTGTAGCCTCCTCCTCTTCTTCCTCCTCCTCCTCTTCCTCATCACTTTCCTCATCTTCATCATCTGTCTCAGCCTTGGACGTGGTAGGGCACTCCTGGGAAGCCATTCCACTAGGGCCCTGGGAGACAAAGAAGTTTCTCTAAGGAATCCCTTGTCCCAGGGGGCTTGGTTCTTGCATTCCTTCTGCACACTCCCCCATCAGTCACCCTGGATTCCCTGGTTGCCAGGGCAGGGGAAGGACAAAGTCTCTCTGAAGGGTATACCCATTCCACACCTCACCGGAATCCAAGGAGGCTTTGGGGGGCTCTGCAGAGTGGGAAGAGATGCCAGGGAGCCGGGCTCTTCTCTTCTTTCTCTCACTATCCTCACTTTTGTCTTGCAACATTGCATATTTGGAGATGACCTCATCCAGCCTGCTCATGGCCAAACTTCGGTTTTCCCGAAGGCGCCGGGCCAACACAGGATCTGATAGTGCAGGGTCAATGCCTATGCGGGAAGATATAAAGCCAGAGCGCTCAACCCAAATCCTAGAAGGCACTAGAGAGCTGTCCCCTTCACCACACACCCAACATAGAAGGGTCAGTGATGGGTATCCCGCTAACCCCCTACCTGGCCTATAGTCATCTGTAAGATGGCAGCCAAAGTTGTAGATGAGATCAAGGTGGCGTCGCTCCTGTAACCTGATGCCCACATCTCGGAAGGCATCCTGAGCCATGAGCTGGAGCTGCTGTCGAGGGAGGCCGAGGCTGTGACGAGCAGCTGCCTTCTCTACTGCCCGCAGCACATCTCCATAGTCAGGGAAGGTGTCAGGCCCTGGCTTGTTGATGAGCCGCTCAATGCGCCTGTTAACCTCTGGGTAGCGGGTGCCACGGTAGGTGATGCGCTGCTCTATGACACGGCCAGTCAGTGAAGAGCAGTCTTTCAGCTCACAAAGTCGCCCAAAGAGGCGGATCAGCTTACGCTTCAACCGTGCCTCCTGCAGGTATGTGGAGTCTGGGTCATCCAATTCTGAGAGATCCAACTCCTTTTCCTGCAGCCTCCGGATCTCTGCCACATAGAGTGCCAGCAGCTGTTCCAAGTGCTGGATCTGTCGCCGGGAACCACGGGTCCTTGGGGCCTCAGAGGCAGTGGTTTCAGCATTTGTGGGGTCTGAGGAGGGGTCTGTGGGAGGGTTATTCCCAGAGGGATCACTGGAGGTGGTGGCAGCAGGGGCCAGGTTCAGCTTCTTTTTGGCTGAGTGGGCCTTGAGAACAGTGCAGAGCTCATTGATGTACACATAGATCTTAGCTGGCCGGCTCCGGGCCCGAGATAGGACCCGGGAGAGGATATTGCAGAACTCCGCCGAGGCCAAAAACAGAGAGTGGGCACGCTGCTGCCGGTTATAGAGGAATGGGACCACCTCAGGGTGGTCTGCCGTCTGCATCTTACACAGTTCAAGGAACTGGAGGGTTCAGGGGAAGAAGGGAGAGGAAGACAAGGGAGGGGTTGAGAGAAAGAAGGGGAGGTGGGGTTAGTGGGGAAGAAAGGACAGGAAAGCCAGTCAGCCATCCCCCTCCCTGAGGTACAGGAACCTTCTCCCCTAAAAAGCTCACCTCTTCAAACAGCTTCTCATTCTCCAACTTGTAGCATTTCTTGCCGCCCGAACTACTGCTTCCTCCAGCCCCATGGGGCTCAGAGGAGCCAGGGGCTTCTGCCCCAGGTGAGGCCGGATTGGGGGGTAGGTGGGAGGGCCCTGGCTGAGCAGCTGCTTCATCTTCGTCATCATCATCCAGCACAATGATGCTGTTAGCGTTGGCCATGGGGGATCAAATCCCCCGAAGGGAGGAAGTGTTGGGGATTTCAGAATTCCTGCTGGAAGGGGATGGGGCCTCAGAAAGAGCCCCTCCAGCACAGCCCCATCCCTTCATCTCACACACTTTCCAATCTCCTTGGGTTTCAGGAACATCCAGCCCTGACCAACCGTGTCCTCACTGCCTACCTTCAGTAACCATTAGTCCTATGTGCTTCTGGGTCCTTCAAGTGGTGGTGGTGGTGAGGGGGACAATCCACTCCCAAACCTTAAGTCCCCACCCCCAGCTCCACCCCTCACGTCAATTTCCGGTCTCTCTGTTGCATTTCCCCACTATTTCTCATAGTTGGCAAGTTGATTCTTCCTCCCAACCCAGGACCACCGCCCACACTGCACCCCAAATTTCTGTGACACTCCCTTACACAGATCACACATGCCGGTGGGTGCCACCTCATGTGTTTGCTCCCTTTCACCCTCAAACATGTCAAACCCACACCCCACCCCATCCTAAATGATCACACCAATTCCTAGGTCCCCTCCCAACAATTCATTCTCTACCCCCCTCCTCGAATTGTCTCCATACTTCACCCTCTGGTTGGTCTTCTCAAACCTGGGCTTTAGGTTGGAGAATTTCACCTGAAGTCCCCTCCCTCCCACCCCACCCTAATTTTCCCCATTCTCTCTCGGTGACCTGTAACCGTCCGTGAGCCGCCCCACTGGACTCTCCCGATTCCTCTCAGATCCCATCCCTGGGTCGGGCCAGCCCGGAAGACGAGCTTCCCGCCAAGTCCCCCTCCCCCAGTTCAGCCCCCGGCCGCCCCGCTCCCCTTCAGGGATAGGAAGGTACCACAGTTTGTTCCTCGGACTCAGCGCCCGGTCCCCTCAATACCTCTCCCTCGGTATCCCCGCCCCCGTCTTTGCTCCCCACACGGTCC